AAACCGTCCAGATGAGCTGAATGAACATTGTTGGATTTATACCTGGATTATTGAGCATGAACTTTGGTGTTTGATTATTTGTTTAAATATACGTCAGTACACTTATTTATTTTTGTTCTATAAAATATTTGTTACAACTTTTTATTCCTGTTCTGACGTCACGAGAACTCGTGAATGAAAACTTTGAAACGTACTTTACTTTCCTCTCATGAAGTGGTGATTTGATATTTGTCAGCGAGCCTCATGAAAATACATAATTCAGTTTGAAGTTTGTCTTTAGTTGAATAAAACGGTTCAATCTGTTTCATCTTTGTTTCATTAAAGACAACCGTCTCTTTGATCTTTAACATGAAGCAGTTCCACTGTGACGTCTCCTCGTTGTTCCACTGCACGTAAATAAAACCACGGTGGTTTGTCTGGAAACTTGATGTTTGATCGACATGTTCAGAACATAAAATATGTAATCTGGTGTTCCACATCATTTAACTGATCTTTAATCTGTTAATCTCTGCAGTTCAGGATCAACTGGAGCTCAAAAACCAGGTTTCTGGAATGGTTCTGAACGGTTGTTGGACCTCCAAACCTCCACCGTGGTCTTTCCAGTCCTGAGCTGAGAAGACCATGGTGGAGGTTCCAGCTCCACCTGAAACTCTGTTTCCAGGGAGCTGTCCGTGGTCCTGGTTTTGCCCGAGGGGGGCAAGGTGCTGCTGAGTTCGGGGACGGCGTCTTCTCTGCGGCCGGTTCTCCCTCCTCTCTGCCACCTCCTGGAGCTCTCCCACCTCCTGGAGCAAGGCCACCTGGGGGGTCAGGGATCATGTTTGGGTCTAAGGTGTGAGTTGAGGGTGGGTCAGGGTTTGTTCATAGAAATGAATGGAAGTCGATGCGATGTCCCTGTAAAGATAGAAAGTGGTGCACACGTGTGTGTGTGTTTGAATTTGTACCTTTCTAAGTACCATTTTTCCAACACATACTACGTTGTGAGGACCAACTGCTCCTTATGGGCCCAAAACCCGGTCCCTGTAAGAATGATGGATGGAGGGTTAGAGGTTAGGACTGACGTGTGAATGGAGGAGGGGCTCGCTTTACGATAAGAGTCCGAGTTATGAACTGGAAATGAATGGAAGTGAATGCAACGTCCCTGTAAAGATAGAAAAATAAATGTGTGTGTGTGTTATTTTAGGACAAACCCGTGTAAAGTGAGAAGCTGCTTCAGTTGACCTGTCTGATGTTTCACCACACGGGAGTTTAAAACCAGCAGCGGTTTTGTTCTTAGAATCAAAACACTAAAGTTTGTATCGACAGATGAACGAAGGACTTCTTCAGAAACAGGTCGCTGTAAGATCAATAAACACACACTATAAAATAAAATAGATTCATAGTTTGTAAATTACTGTGAAATCTGGACAAGTCTTATTAATGTTTATTATGCATAAATATAAAAATCTAAATCAATCATTTTGTTTTCAAGAAGATTGAGACAGAGTTAAATCAATGGAAACAGATTATTTCATTCAGTTTATTTCCAAAGGTCCACGTCTGAACAGAAGTCGTCTCAGGGACTGAACAGAAACACGAATCTATAAAAAGACAATTATTAAAGTTATTTATCTGAGGAAGCAGCAGATCGCGTTGAATCTTCACTTCATCACAGTCTCATCCTGAGCAAGCACAGAGGAGACTGTGGGAAGAAAAAACTCCCTTTAACAGGAAGAACCCTCCAGCAGAACCAGGATCAGGACGAGCGGCAGAGTCCACGTTTGAAATCGTTACTTCATGTTCAATGTTAAAAACTGTCATTTAGATTTATAAAACATGTTTTAAGAACCCAGAGTTGATTTATATAAAGATAAAACTAAAAGTGAAGAGCTGGACGTCTTCCTGGATTGATGAGGAGGTTCTGGAAGGAGTCCAGGTGAGAGTCTTGTTGGGGGGTCCAACAGCTGCTGAGGGGGTTGTAGGTGAAAAATCTTATGTACAAACTCATGAATATCAAAAGTTAACATCGTCGACATATATCTGAACACAATATTTAGAGAGTAAAACCTTTTCTGTCTTGTTTGAGTTGATTAGACGACAGAAGAGAAGATTGGCTCCTTCTCTCTGACTCCAGCTGTGAAAACCTCTGGATCTGACAGGAAACAGAAACATTTCAAATTAAAATTAGATTATTGCATCAAAACTTTCCATTTAATAAACAGCAGCTCTTCATTCATTGGACCGGTTGAAGTTTT